AGGAGCAAGTGGTAGGATTATTTGGCATCCTTGAAATAGCTCTGTGGTTCTCAACTTTCCCAATGGCCACAACCTTTTAATACAGTTCCTGTGGGACTCGACTCACAGGTTGAGAACCGTTGACTAGGTGGATGGGACAACCAAGCTGAAGCCCCAAGAGACAGCCTGGGGTTAGTGCAGGATGCCTGGCCAGGTCCCTCCAGTCCTCCTAAAAGTTCTGGAACCAGAACAGTTGTGACATTGGACCCTGGCACTAAACTTCCCTAAGAGAAAACACAATTTCTAAAAGTCCCATTTATCTTTAACATTTATCTTTATTCTAGAAACCTCTGAATATAAACCAGGCTCTCTTCCCACCCCCCACTCCCCTTTCCAACCCAGCTAGAAAGTGTGGGCGGGTTGAGAAAGAACAGAAAAGAAAGATCAAAACTCTGACAACCCTCTGACAACATTTTAACTTGAAAATTGCCTCCAAATGAATGGCATAATTCTGTGTAGGCAGATGTAAATCAGGTGCACATTTACTCAGCTCCTCTTCGTTCCTGTTGCCTAACAAACACCTGGAAGAGACAGCCGGCCGGAGCTGCCTGCTGGCCTTGGAGAGGCTGCCTGGAGAGTTTCGCTCTGCAGAGCCTATCCCAGCTCCCCAGCTGGGTGTGACCTTCCCCTGGGACCCTCAGAGCTTGTGCACTCCTCATGTTCCCCCCAGACCTTTTCTGGCTCCTTCTCAGTTGCTTGTTGCCTACTGTGCACCCCGCCCCAGGCTGAGTGCACCAGCAGGTCCTCCTCATGAAGTGGCCGGGGGAGGGACCCAGAGTGAGGGCTCAGGTCCTAACCAGCACTGTCTAAGGGCTTACCTAGTCAACCTGGTGCCGGTCCAAACAGCCACTTGTGCAAAGTCCACCTCTCCAAAACCAAAAGCACCTCTTTGGACAAAGCAAAGCAATGCAGGTGGTTCCATGCAAAGCCTTCCCCACCATTGGGAAAAAATCCCTCCCTCAGAGGCCCCTGGGTTGGGTACACCTGTCACCTGTTCAGCCTCCTGCTGACTCCCGTGGCTTGGCCTCCCCTTGGGCTCAGCTCTTTTCCCAACCTGACTAGTGGGAGGCAGAGGAGTTTGTCAGGAAGTTCCCCGGAGCTTTTCTTTCTCCTCTGGAAAAAGGAAGAGTTGAGGCAGAGGGTCTAAAATGGCTTCTGGGGCTCGGCGCCTATAGCTCAACCA